GACCAAGTTCGTCTGCGATACAAGAAAGTGGAAGCGGACGACAGGAGGTACCAGAGGTGGCGCAAAAGCAATATCGAATAACTTCAGTTCAAGGAGTGCTCATTTGAGGAGAAGTATTAGTACCTTTCAAGCGGCGCAGATTTCAAGCGGACGGGGGATATCCTTTATGCTTGGTTCATCCGAAACGGAAGAGCTCAAGGTATCCATGAAGAGGCAGGTCAGGTTGCCTCCAACCTCCAACGTGACCTGCCCCCAAGTGCATGTGGTTTCCATCCATTCAGTCAGGTCCAGTTGTTCTTCAAATGGAAGCTTGTGGAGCAAGAGCGCTAAATCTCCAGTGGCTTGTCGTTTAGGGCCGTTTTCTAGGTTACTCTGAGTGGGGTTGTCCAGGTACCAGTCTGCATGCGGGTACCTTACTTGAACCCCAACCCCTGTCGCTCGGGATAAATTATGACACTCGATGGAGGACTTAAGGGGAATCAATGCCTGTATTGTAGGGCCCTTGGCCTTAATCATGCTGTATGTATGTACTCCGTACGGGCCCTGTTCAGTCAAAGGGTTTTGGCTATGCCGCGAAAGAAAACAAGCGACTCGGCACCAAGGAGGCTCCGTAGAAGCAAAGCGCTTGATGGAATGGAGGAATGCCGTCACGAACTGGCAACGACACTTTGTTCGAGTCAATACCCGCACAGTCAATACCAGGCAAGCCTAAGCCGCGGTGCTTCTTTCACAGGCGTTTCCCACCGGGCAATCCATTCCAATGATTCGAACAATCGAAAGACATGGCGCTTCGCCGCTACCGGCTTGGCTTCCAATCGCCAACAAGCTGCATAACTGATTGTGGCTCAATCCAACCCCTGCTAATTAACGGCGACGTTAATCGGTTTTACTGGCCCGGCTTCCATCTTCAGGCGATGACTTGTCCAACAGGGTTTGGGTATTATTGCTTGCTTCACACAAAGCTTTGTTTTGTATCACAATGCTCGCCGTCATACTACGCTGGCATTGTTTGCTCTCGCAAGGATTTGATCCCTCACTCATTCCTCGGATAAGCTTTCACGACAGGCTCTTCGCTGAAAAAACTGGCCTCAAAAGCCGAAACAAATCAATAAAACAAAAGGCTCTCTGGATTTCTCCCTCTCTCTACGTAAATGCAGTATGTACTTCTCGTACACCCCTGATAGCCCTAAGCACAGTGGCTCGCATAACATCATCTGTGGATCTGGCCAAGAGCTAGGAATCTCAATGAACGGTTTTCATGGCGCTCAAATTTGACAGGTCTTGTAGCGGTTAATCGGCGCTAGGTTGGAGTGAAACGTTGCGGTACTTTTCCCCATGCTCTCGCTTAGTCCTCTGATGAATATATTGACGTCAAGGAGCCAGAGGCTATGCAACTGAGAACGTTGTGAAGACGGATACAGTCAGGTGCAAGGCCGTGAGACAAATGTGTTAGAGCGAACCTGTAGATCCGACGAAGCCGGAGATTCGTTTGTTGTCTACCATCTCCATTCCTGATACGCCATTCGTCAAGGAAGTGTCCGAGCCGACTTCAGACGTCAACCAGTTAGGAGCCACGAAGCCTCTTTTTGGGGAAGACGGGTATCGCCACCTCTCAGCTAACTGTTGAACACGAAAAGAGAATACCACGCTGAAGGAAGCTGAAACATTGTCTTGGCTTTTGAACCGTGTAGGTGGTCGGCCTAGCAATTTTTGCTTTAACGTGGCTACCCTATGGCGAGCTATTTGCTATGTTCACAACAGAAGATCCGCATGTGGGTTGCAGTTTGCATGTTCTGGCTTCTTAAAATACCACATATGGATATCTCAAAAAGTAATAGTTGTAGCCCTAGTTGCACAGTACTAACTTCTTGTCAATGTTAGAAGTGATGCTAAAGAGTTAGTGACCCAAGTCAAGGAACACACATAGTATTCGGCTTCGGGTCATGCTCAGCTCCGTGACCGCCTTCCCAATTGGACTACTACCAATAAGGGCATACTGCCATATCAATGACGGATACAGAATCGTGCAAATCATCATTGGAAGAATTGATACCAAATCAGATTCTACACCAATTTCCTCTTGTTGCATATCACGTCTTCAAATACTGTACTCTAGTTCTCCTCCCTTCCCAATGGCTGCCAAACAACCATCTTCAAGATGGTGGTTCTGGACCAAAGTCCTGATGGGGTAAGCCTTTGCCATTATCAGAGTCTGTGAAAGACCAAGCTGATGTATTGCAGTGGCGCTGCTGTCGCAGTCGGCGGACCGGCCTTTACAATGTGGTTAACTCCTACTGAGGAAGAGCTTCGATCGAGATACAACCCCGAATTGCGGAAGAAGAGTCTGGAGAACCGTGAGGAGCGCCAACAAGAGTTTGACGACTTTGTGACTCGACTGAAGGAATATTCCAAGTCGGATAAACCAAGTGTGTTTATTTCGTCTTCGGAGTATCAATTGCTAACCTGAGCTAGTCTGGATTGTTGTGAAAGAGGAAGAGGAGCGAAAGCGCAAGGCTGCTGCCGCTGCTGCGAAAGCGTCTCAGAAGGATGCAGACACTCGACGAGAAGAGATGAGGAGAGAGGCAGGCCTTGACGCAAAATAGAGTCACCGACGGGAACTAAAACTGAATGCCCTTCATGCTTGTAAGATCATATGGTGTGGTGAAGGACGGCTCATGTATAACAGCTGAATAACATAGGAAACTAGGCACCTTCCTTAGTTGCAGGGGTGAGTAACTTCTTTGGAGTTTTTGGAATCAACGTTCAACTGCTTTCATTTGAAAACTAAGATGGGATCATCTCTCGTTGCCTAAATTGCCCCGGAAAGACCACCGATATCTCCAATCGAGTGGCAATGCGAATCATCAATTTTCTCGAAATGATCGAGGAAGGGCCAAATGAATGTGATCACACCGAGTACGCAGTAGTAACTATGCCCGACAGAGCCCCTGTTCAGGTGCATTTGAATAGTTCATGCGTTCGTTTCAGACAATATATTACCGGAAGTTCCTGAATAGAGCATCTCGAGAGCTCGATATGGCTTCCATGCGCGGGCGGTCTTCTTGACTTACCCCACGAGCCTGGCTGGAGGCGGCTATAACGTCACGGGCGATGAATGTGGTACCAGTGAAGGGCGGAGCACCAGAGCCCCTCCTTGAGAAATTCCTCGGCGAAAGGTAGTTCCACAGGCGAACGCACAAAATCTACTTTGACTTATCACCACCGATTCGAAGCCGACGGCGACAAACAGCTAATTACCCAAGCCTCACTTACTGGTATGTTGCCGAACCCACGTATGCACGAATTTACGAGCAATATTTCTTCCAACAATTGATTTATCCCGTCCGAAACCGCCCCGACTGACGAGTTTTGTCCCAGTTTCGATCGAGTCCCCCGATCCCCCGCAATCGAATTTCGCCCATCATGTCGACCAACGAAGTCCAAGAACGTCTCAAGAAGCTCGGCCTGAGCGCCCGAACTGGTACGTGACTTTTGCGCAATTTTACGGTTCAATTCGAGGTGAGAGCAGCAAGCTGATCTGTCATCTAGGGTATGTCTTCGCAATACGATGCTTTTAGGATGTCACCATTAGTTGTCGCTGCTGCTAACCGAACGACTCAGTGGAAAGGGTACCCCCCGACGAAAGGTCAAGCGTGCGCCCGCCCGCTCCGGCGCCGACGACAAGAAGCTTCAGCTCGCCCTCAAGAAGCTGAACACTCAGCCCATCCAGGCCATTGAGGAGGTGAACATGTTCAAGCAGGACGGAAACGTCATTCACTTCGCTGCTCCCAAGGGTTAGTCATCCTACTCTGGCATGTTTCATGGGGCTTGGTATATATTGACATTCCCTTTCCACTCCAACAGTTCACGCTGCTGTTCCTTCCAACACCTTTGCCATCTATGGTAACGGTGAGGACAAGGAGCTCACAGAGCTTGTCCCCGGTATCCTTAACCAGCTCGGCCCCGACTCCCTCGCTTCTCTGCGTAAGCTCGCCGAGAGCTACCAGAACCTCCAGAAGGAGAAGGGCGAGGACGATGACGAGATCCCCGACCTGGTCGAGGGCGAGAACTTTGAGAACGAGCCCAAGGTCGAGTAAAATTTCTCTACACAGTCAAAGGCGAAGGGGCAGTAAAATCGTAGGTCTGTTCGGCCAAGAGGCTGGCTAGTTTCTCCTACGAGGCGGGTTTTGTGCTTCTTCCCCCTGGTATTGGGCAGTCGTAACAGTCACTCCCCCGCTCTCTATGTTGAGTAGCAGAGGAGCAGGTACGGGTACGCAAAAGGTCACAGCTCGGGAATGTCATGGTGGAATGGCGACCTTATGCTCGCTGAGGTTGATTGATCTGTACGAACAAACAAAATACGACTTACATCGGGAGAAATACCAATCTCTAATGATGTCAATGATTGCTACGTTTTTCTAGTTGGAAATCTGACCCTCCGTCATTTCTGATCCACCCTGACAGTGCCATCCCACGGGTCTCGTCCTTAACTTGTCGTCGGTGAGCCATCAACTGTCCTTGTTTCAAGTGGTGATATGTCTTACCACCAGGACAAATTGCTGTAGAAGAGGAAGCACCGCCCATTCTACTAGCGAGATCGGTTGCTGCCTCCCACATACAACGCTTGGAAACTCGACTTGCTCCGTCTGTCTTAAAAGCCTTCCGGCCTTGAATAACTCCCCCAATCAGGCTCTCTTCGAAACCTGATCGTGACCATGTTGCTGCTAGATTACTCGCCGACATCTTACATGCTCTCATTTGTACAGACCGTTTCGAAAATTCGAATTCCAGGCTCGTCGTTGCAACTGAGAACTCTCTGAACGAATATCCTCCCAGCCACTTTTTGCCAGCCATGAGGTTCATCCTGCCTTCTGCTGAAAAGGCACGTCGACATGCAAGTTCAGAGTATTGGGATCTTGGCAAGATGATGCTACTAATGTATGCATTGGTAGGATCAATGAATATTGATGTGATGGCTGAGAGAAGTGAAGCGCATTGTTTCAATGCAAGTTTATCAGAGCAGGACTTGGATAATGTTGGGGGCGCATCTCCTCTCGCAGGTTTTCGTCGAACAATTCCAGTTCTAGAGAAGCAAGCCCTTCCTAGTAAAGAGATTTGTGTATCACCCCCAGGCTTTGCATTTACAGGAGTTGGGGTTTCCCATGCTGAATCATCTTCTTGAGAAGCCATTGTGAGCTCCATACTTGCATCACCGCCTGCTTATTCAGTAAACGTAGTGTTTTCGTTTCAAAGTACTTACATGGTGCTTCTGAGCAGTACATGTGCAGCTTGACGCCGTCTTTGATATCGAATAGTTGCAAAGGCGTGTCATTCAGATTTGAATCGCTCGTCTTCTTCTGGAGGATACTCGACTCGTCATCTCTATCGAGGACATTCTCGCATTCATCAAGCAAGAAACGGTTGAAAGTTCGCATAGCTAGGACCTCTGCATGCCAGTCATGGATGCCCACGCCATTGGATTGTGAGATTTTTGACGCTGGTAGGCACTTCATGCCAGTTCTACAATAAGAAATTTTAGGATATGCAGGGAAATAAATAGGAATCGAATGCGCTTACGCCAGGGCTAGACATGTTAGAATGCCATCTTTCTCAGCAACGATACCACTCAGCGGAACCCATTCATGAACGCCATTGTCACGAACAGCAGGTTTTCGCTTCGAGGGTAATTTGTAGAATTGTTGCAGTACTGCTTGAGCCACCAGATCCGCCTGGGACGTCATCTAGCCATGTCCAGTATATCCAAAAGGGTAATACGAAATCCACGGGCGGGCCAAGACTCAAGACTTAGGACTTTTTGTCGTGTTTATCAGTATGATGAGGTTCCATGATAACCTTGGGTGCCTTCCGGAGAATCATCGGTAACTTACCTAAGTGCGCCCCTGCACGTGATGGCTCTAAACAGGGAAGGACCAGCTAACAGCGGCTTCCAAATCCTTAGCCCTAATTGATCACACACTTCGAGAAAGTGCGACTCAACTTTCCATTTGCCATTGCCAATCCACGGTCAACCACACAACACCTTGTCGCCTTCAACGCACAACCAGCGACAAGATGCGAACCTACGAGGACACTTTCTCCGGCGCGAGAATTTACCCTGGCAAGGTACGCTGCTTTAGCCATTATCCCCATCCGTTCCGTTGATGCGATCCGGTCGATTATCGAAATTCGAAGCTCTCTAGTCGCTGGAGGGGAACGACGGCGATGACGGGATCGCAGGACGAGCACTCGGTGTTATTTCAATCAGGACATCAAAAGGCTAACGGGTATCGCTTCACAGGGTAAGCTCTACGTCCGTGGCGACAGCAAGATCTTCCGATTCCAGAACGGCAAGTCGGAGTCTCTCTTCCTGCAAAGGAAGAACCCCCGCCGTATCGCCTGGACCGTCCTCTACCGCCGACAGCACCGCAAGGGTATCTCTGAGGTACGAATCTACCAACTTGAGCAGCACTCACGATGGCTATCACTGCTGCTGGTGTGCTGCCGATTGCCACCATTGAACGGAGCTGACATATTCTATAGGAGGTTGCCAAGAAGCGAACCCGCCGCACCGTCAAGGCCCAGCGAGGCATCGTCGGTGCTTCTCTCGACGTGATCAAGGAGAAGCGCAACATCCGACCCGAGGCCCGTTCCGCTGCCCGAGCCCAGGCCATCAAGGAGAGCAAGGAGAAGAAGCAGGCCGATGCTGCTGCCAAGAAGTCCGAGAAGGCTAAGCTCGCTGCCCAGGCCTCCAAGGGTCAGGCTACCCGACAAGTCAGCAAGCAGGGTGCCAAGGGCTCTGCCCCCAAGGTTCAGGCCAAGAGCCGTTAAGCTAGGAAATGGACTTTGAGGGAGGAAGAAAATGGAAGAGTGGAGTCCGTGGTTCTTGTGTCTTTGTCCGGCCGGTTCTTCTACAATCTCGGGTGCATGGATTGCCAATAGGGTGCATTGATAGCTAAGCAATGCAAAATGGTCAAACAAAAGCCGCATCTTTTTATGTCGTGGTGAACACGGGCTGTACAGTCGCATGGTCCTAGATAAATAAGTCGCGGCGTCGATCCGATTGCTGTTGACATGTTTTGGTGGAATTAACGACAAAATGACTTATGACACGAGAGCAGGCTTCACAAAAAAGACGTTTCATACCGAGATGATTTTCATATGCTTCGAATTGAACAAGCGTCGATCTATCTTCACCCTTCATGCTTCATGTCTATATTCTATTCTATTCGTGCATTGCAATGCAACTTCAGTTACAACTGGGCCAGGACACCCAGGGCACCAGACTTCTCGATGCTCCCAGGCTCCTCGTCCCTTGCAGCGTACACGACCTTGCCTTGGTCGACAATAATCGCAAAGCGTCCGGTTCGCTCACCGATATTCCAGCCGATGGTTTGGGAGAACTTAGCATCCTTGTCGGACATGAAGAGCTAGTCAAGTTAATCCTATGATGCTGGCTTGTTGAATAAAAGAGAAACTCACGATCTTGTCGTCGGTGATACCGTTGGCCTTGGCCCAGCCGCTCATGACAAAGGGGTCATTGACAGCGATGACAATGACCTGATCAACGCCCTTGGCCTTGATCTTGTCGACGTGTTCCAAGTAGGAAGGAATGTGAGAGCCGGAGCAAGTAGGTGTGAAAGCACCTGGAATAGAGACAAGAACAACTTTCTTGTTCTTAAATTCTGTATCGAGCGATGTCAGTCTGCCCGAACTCCAGACTAGACTTGATTGTGAGATCACATACCTTGGCTGGCGTTGAAAGGGACAGGTGTACCACAAGTAGTGAACTCAGAGGTTTCAGGCGAGGGAGGGATATAGCTGAACCAGACACCCTCTGGGAAGTTATCACCGGCCTTGAGCTCAGACATTTTGACTTTGTCTAAGAAGTTTTTGTGTATGGGAGTGTAAGTTGAGCAAGAGCTGAAGAAGATGTATATCGAAGTGTGAGGAAGAGAGACTGGATCACGCCCAACTTCGAGGGAATCTGTAGAAGTTTATATCTTCCCTGCATGGGCAGCTACCTAGGTACTGTACTTTAGGTACCCCGCTGCTTCTTAGTCTTTTAAACGGCATTGGCGCAAAGAGGGTCCTGATGAGGTCAGTGAAGACCTGTGGGGATCCTCGGAAAGTGGTCGGCGCGGTCGACGCAGCCATGGTGGAACCGCTATCGGCCACTCAAGCCGCAATGGTATTGAGATACGCAGCACCTTGATGAGAGACACCGGGTTTTGCCCAGGATCCATTTGGAATCATGTCAAAAAAAAGTCGGTGCTCTATTATTAAGATGCTGTCCTCGACACATGTTCAGTTCTCTAACCATGACGCATCCTTCACATGTCCACTTTCAAGATGATGTCCAAATGAGGCTCGGCGCCAGCTTCGGCAAGCGAGATGCTAGTCGGCACAACATCTGTTACCCAATTCATAATCTGTTAGATTATTAACGTCGGGAAGACGATGATTTACAGAAAGTTCAGATGGTTGCATACTATGATTCCAAATGGTCACACTACAGTGATGAGTTGAAATGATAATATAATTACCGATCACAACCAGAATGTCAAGTTAATGCATGTACTTCCCTTTGTATTGCCGAACAGTTGCTTTGTGTCACTAATAAAGTTACCCAACTGCCAACAAACTATGAGAGTCCCGATGTGGCTGAGATTCGTATTTGTGGATGTATGCCTGTGTCACTAGGTAAAGTATAGTTGTTTGCGAGACCGTCAAACTCGAGGTCGCGACATTAGTTGATTCTTTGATAGAGAAATCGCCAATCTTGTTCGATATGAGCCGTGGATAGATTTTTCTCAGAATATTCTATAATCCACTATATATAAGGTAACTCAACTAACTTATATCAAGCATCTCGGTCTATATAATTAATTGTGGAGGCGCAGAGCCGCACGTAGTATAATACATAGGAATGGGAGTAATTACTTCTAGTCAAGTTTTTATATCAAGCCAGTATCACATGAATTCTGTTGCTTTTGCTGATGAAAGAATTCATTGGGTTGACAGCAGCCGCTGGACCAGTCGATGAAGAACAACCCTGAAATGTTCCAAGACGAAGGTCATTGACCCCATTGTCAATAAACATCTAAGCGGACATTATTATGAAGTTTAAAACTCAAGATATCCCGAACGGCTGCCATAGCGGTTGTAAACGGGTTTGTAAACCTACCTCAGGTGTTGGTTGTGTCTACTACCCTGGACCTAAGCACCTGTTTTTATTCACTTTGATCCCCTGAGTCAAATAGATTAGTAACTTATCAAAGGCATTAAACTCATTCCACTTTGTTTTCTTCTTCCTGTGGCTACGTCGAATATCTCCAGATCGCATTAAGGCTTAGGGAACAATGCGTTGACCAGCATAGGACACTGGATAATATGTGTAACAATGGCGGGATATCTGCACTGAGTTGCGCCAGTCATGGAAATCTGACATCGTTAGATCACCTTATTTTGTCATTCATGCCCATCGAATGAGAAAGATGCGCTGTTCACTGTCAATTGCCGGTCAACAGCATGATAGGATGCTTACCCGGTTTCAAACATTGATTGGCACACGGACCGAAGCGTCCCGGAGCGGGGGAGCACGACTTGCAGGAACCAAGAACGTCGATCTTTGACTTCTTCCAGCTATAAACAAGCCCTAAATATCATCGAAGAAATGTCTGGAGAAAGTTCAGAGAAGCCAATTGATAGCTCAGGTATACATGCCCTTTCCAAATGCCTTACGAAGTGGTACTGACGACCAGTGTTCAGAGAATGGCGAAACATGGACGGTCGAGAAAGCCTTGAGTCACAATGACCTAGTTCATGTATCAGATTCACCGATCTCCTTTTTCCATCTCCTCGGCGTTCTCAAGACAACAAAGCGTGAAGGTTGGAAGAGACACGGAATCAAGTAGGTCGAACGCTATTTCCAAGTTTCGGTTACGGATAGGCTCACAAGTACTAGTCCCGAGTCGGTTGCAGATCATTCTTATCGAATGGGCATGGTAGCAATGTTTGCACCACAGGAACTTGACCAAGCCAAGTGCATGAAGATGTGCCTTGTCCATGACATTGCGGAATCTGTTGTGGGAGATATTACCCCTTTCAGCGGCGTTTCTAGGACTGAAAAGGGCAGAAGAGAGGCCTCAACCATCGCGTACATTGCCAATCGATGGTCTGGACCTTACACTGCCGAGATTGAAAAGCTATGGCATGAGTTCGAAGCTGGTGAAACTCCGGAGGCTCAGTTTGCCCAGGATATAGACAAAATCGAGCTCCTTCTACAAGCAGTTGAGTACGAAAGGGAGAGCAAGAATGAAAAAGATCTGGGCGAGTTCATGGGAGTTGCCCGGAAGTTACGAACTGAAGCTGGGAAAGCATGGGCAAATGAGATACTGGGGGATAGAGAGAAGTTTTGGGAGGGCCGACAACACTTGAGGGGAGAACATGCCCAACAGGGAGGGCTCTCTGAAGACATGACAAAGGCCCATGATGCATACTATGGATAGCTCGGAAATCTGTTACACAATCCCTACATTTACTAATCGTTGAATTTCTTGCCTTGTTAAGTTTTAGTGGCTGGGATATAGATGCTGATGAAAGCATCCCGACTTGTTGACGTACATACTCCGCAAGAATAAGGAGAAAACAATATTTGAATCGCAGTTACTTGAGACTCCATTATTACGGAAGTATTTCCCAATAAAATCCGCTTGGGGCGGAACATGCATAACATGTAATTCAAACAACACGGTTCAATGGTTCAGCTGGAGCTACATACAAGCAGCTTCTTTGCTGTGTGAATATGGCACCGGGCAGGGTTGTGTTGTTTAAGGTAGGGCAAATGCCACCCGAGCAATGTGAGACTGACTATGCAATCTGTACAACGAATGATACTACTTCGAGAATAGAGTCATGAGTGAGAAAAGCAGCTGCATGACTTATCACTTCTGCTATGTAGGACAAGGGTTGGCAAGTGTCACGGTATCAATAAATTCATGCACGCACCTCAATCTGAGCCAGCCACATTTGGCCCAAAGCACCCTCCATAATCAACACTCTGTCTCCTGTACGTCATTATTACAGCAAGGGATGAATTTGCAGTTGTCAATTACGAAGATGAGCTTGGTGCAAACTTGACATCTTCAAACGAGGCGTGATTTATTATTATTTAAAAAAGTGATTGATAGACTCGAGTTTTGACTAAACAAAAAAGCCAGAGTCTTCAACAAGAAGCATGTCTCATTATATCCCAAGACGTTATTCTCGCAAGCCTTGGTTAATTAATTGCTGCTGTCTCGGAGAAACGCTCGTTTGGGATATAATTGCTCAGATTACCGAAGACTCGGCGACAAGGTCCAAGCCCAAGTCCAGGTCCAGGTCCAGGTCCAGGTCCAGGTCCAGGTCCAGGTCCCGGGGCAGGGGCAGGGGGCGGGACACTACACAGCCCATGTAGGTATCTGTCCGTCATTTAGCAGCGATCTTGCACTGGAGCCAGGGCAACTGGAATTGACTTGTCAAATTTCGTTGCGGGCCACTCAAGCTACGTGGCCTACCTACCTATCCAATTCTGTTGGCTTTGGTTAGCTCAGGACTAGCACAAGCTTGACCTTGTTCAAGCTGTTCATGCTCAGATGTGCTTCACCAAAGCAAATATCAGTCCTCGATGTCGATGTCAATGGCATGGACCGTTTTCACGGGTTGCCCGACGATCACGAATCTAGCGCCAGCCGCAAGCAAGAGACTTCAGCTACACATTCCTCACTTCTGTGATCAGAGAGGCGGCAAGGATACCTGTCGCCGACTCTAGGCCCTTTCTGGCGAACAAAGGCATGGTTACCTAAATTCCCTTACCTTAGAAGGATACAAGCCGAGAACGATCCTCTTCTTCTTCCAGTAATCTGGGCGGGCCTGAGCCCAGTATCTGTGTGAAGCCACACCTAACCTAGTAGGTGTAACTTCAGACCGCCGACCATGTCGTTTTGGCTCTGATCCTCCGCTCTCGATCATGGATGAAGTCCAGGCGCCCACTAAGATCTACTAACCGAAAATCAAGTGCAAGGCTCATCCTTGCTTCGGAAGTTCATCCGATGTACGACTTACATGACTACCTGCCAAGAAGCGAACCCTCAGCTGGATGAGCCTTTTTAATTAGCTGTCTATGCGAATCTTGCGACCATGCCTACAATGTAGGTAGGCGACCACGTTTCAGCCAAACATGTTGGTGTGATGGTAAATCGATGAGTTGAAGGTCAGTGCGAAAGGTGGGCGAGCTGAACAGGCCAAAGAAGCAAAGACGTTGTGCAACCCATTCAGCCGCCTACGATCTTCCCTGATTTCCTAGCGGTTGTGGTGCTTACCACCCGTGTTCCTGGGAAGGCCACAGAAACCGCAGGCTATGGCCATCCCACATGAGGATTAAGCTTATGGGCGTAAAAGTTCATTGCCGGCGGCTTTCTAGGATCGATCGCCTGGGCTGTTCTTACTGGCAGGCGAACTTGGACGTTAAGAAGGCTTGTCTACAAATCTAACGTATTTGGGTATCGTGGTGCCCCGATTTCCTGGTTTTCCCCTGGACGATTTGTCACTTTTGTGTTTGCTTCTTAGTCCGCCACAGGCTATCCATGACGACCAAGACACTTCTTCTACGCTAGGATGTCATTCTCGCTCATGAAGTTATTTAAACCACACACTGTCCCCTCACCTCTGACTGAGCTGTGTGACCTATAGGACATTTGTAGTCGTCAAGTCCTTTCCCCCCTTCTCATCAATCACTGAATCTCACACTAGTTCTCATATTATCTTATTCAGCATGGGTCTTCTTTCGCTCTCTTACACGCGTCCAAAGTATGTAAGCCGTCAATCATTACGCGATAGTACGAGCAGCGACTCGCTGTCCGACGCGGAAAAATCCGATGCTACGGATAATTCCAGCTCATCTCGTTCCTCCATTGGAATACCAGACTCGCTATCCTTTGACAGGATCATTGGTGGTGGCACATGCCCTGTCAGTAAAGAGCACTTTTCTTGACTTCACCATTCATCAGCCTACTAACTGGTCATTAAGCCCATGACTCTCCGTGATTTCATGACCTACCTTGTCTATGTGGAGCATGCTGCCGAGAATCTCCAGTTCTATCTCTGGTTCCAGGACTATGAGAAGCGCTTTAATGCGAATCCAACAACAGATGTCAAGCTCGCTCCCGAGTGGACTAGGGCCATGCAGGACGAAGCTGTCATCAAGATTAGAAAGGAACAGTCAGACAAGATGCGAAAAGACCCTGAGGCAGCGACCATCTTTAAAGGTAGCGACTTTGAGAAGAAGGCCGGCAGCCAGGACCGGAACATGAGCGCTGTTGACCCGTTCGCAACACCCCCTCAGAGCAGCAAAGGGGGCGATTTCTCGATTTACACAGCCTCTTTCACAATGAACTCACTCAATGCAATGAGCCATCAGAGCCAGGCATCTGACGCCTTCAATATGGTGGGAGCGCAGCAGCCTTGTAAGTCAATTATACCGCTCCTGGAACGACTTTTGAATCGCTGACCCCTTATTAGTCACGATCCAGCCATTTCGAGAAGAGATCAACAGGGTGATCTCAACATATATAATGGAGGGTGCACCTCGGCAACTGAACCTATCCTCTTCTGAACAGAAGGCGGTCATTGTAGCGCTCTCCAAGACGACTCATCCTAGCGCTTTTCGAAGCGTCTTCAAGACTGTTGATTCAAGCCTCCGGCACCAAGCCCACCCCAACTTCGTCCGATGGTCTATCTGCAACGGAAACCCTGCCCGCGTGTTCTTCGCTCGATCGCTGGGCGTTGGGCTAATTGCCGCAGGCATCGTTGCTGGGCTCATTCTCACGCTGAGCAATGCTGGCCGAGGATACCGGGCACTGGCAGCCATAGGCCTTGTTCTTGGCATAAGCACACTTGTTGCGGCCTATAAGGGCATGTGTGTTGTTCTGCATGGAATGCATCACCGTCATGTCAGGCCTTGGGAACTGTTTGTGGACAGCGAGAACATTGAAGATGCGCAGAAGCAGAGCTTTGACTCGTTCGGATCTAAAAACAGCTACGAGGATGAACCCTGGGTCGTCAAGTACGAAAAGCGCAATATGGTCCGCAAAGTGTTCGACCGCGAGGTCTGGATTCAGGAGCCAGCATTGCGACAGATTCAAGACACCATCTTCGTCCAAGCAATACTCGCTTCGGTTCTCCTGGGCGGCATCGTCACAGCTATCTTTGTTGCTGTTCCAGGAGGCCATTTCTTTTGATCGCACTGAGAGCTTCGTTCTTTTCTTGCCATGACCAAAGTGTTACACTGCCCCATGGCAATGTTTTAATAGCTTCCTTTATATTTTCTTGTTTTGGCCTTTGCTACGATCTCAGCTGCGGATACCCTACTTTTGTTTGTAGATGTGGGCGTTTGAGTGGGGGAAGGGGAGTGTCTAAGAGATTCTCGAGTACATGTTGCTGCGGGTAATTTTGTTCAAAACCGTATCGATATTGTTTATAATTGACACTGTAGTTAGTATTAATAAACAGATGAAAAGCAACCGCTCTTGATGAAGACTGGTTCCTTGAATGCCGCTCCGTCCCGTTCACCAAAGCCGACGGCAATTTAGGTAGCCAAGCTCGGCATCAACTCATGACCCCTCCGTAGCCGGGCCATCGGGACTGCTAAAGTCAAACTCGGGCTTTATAATGCGGGAGTAAGAACACTTACTTGCATTGCGTCTCACCGTAAGCAGAAAACAAAATCTCCGAATAAGAATGCGCATAAGAGGCCAATGCGATGCCTTTCAGCTGTAGATCTTCTCAACAGAGTACAATTGGCAAGAAGTCGGGGGAAAGGAGCCAATTTCGCATGCATCTTTGTTGAGTGAATAGGTAAGGTACGTACCATGACATTTCGACATCTTGTATCCGTAAGTACCTTATTTTCTGGGGAGCTTTCCCCAGGCAGTCCGGAGCCTCGGCCCACCGGCTTTTGGAGAACTAAAATGATGATTGATGAACGCCCACTATCGATAAACTGTCAACCCCATTGTAATATTCAAGTCTCCCCATCCGATTATTAGAGCCCCTCCATAGCGATTTAGTATATGTTAAAAGTAGCTGTCACCTCCTTACCCATCCTTATTCTCCCCATTTCATATTTCAAATATACTTTCAAGTTCTGTTGTCGTCCCCCTCATATATATATCGTCGTAAACTAGGCTATGCAATAACTCTTCGTGGGCATTCGCAATCTGCTCACCAGCGCTTCAACTCGAACCATCTCCACTATCCAATTACCCCCTCTATCCTCTCGAACGCCAATCGAGTGTGGCACGAGAGACATATTCACACAATGACTCCCGCTTCAGAACACGAAGATGCGATTGCGCAAGAACTCCAAGCTCCGGCGCATCCTTTGGACCACAAGCGCCGCCGTACCATGACGTCGACCGATGAAATAGACAGCACCATTATCCGCCCTGGCAGTGTCAGAATTAATGTCAAGGGCGCTTTCATCGTCGACCCCGACACGGCGACGCCAGCCTCTACCTCTGGCGCAAGCGCGGGCGGTGCTACATCACATAACGGCCGAATGAGTCCGACGCACCCCGAAACGAGCGACATCCGGTTACCATACCACACTGCGATTGTGAGCCATATTGCGATTGACGTACGTATATCCGTCCTGGGTCACAAGAAGGGAAGCGATGGCTGACGCGGTGAGTGTCATTGCAGATTGGCGGATCGCTTATAAAGCTCGTTTACTTCTCGCGCGAAGTTGATTCTACGGATCCCGGCGGCCGACTGAACTTTCAAAGCTTCGAAACGGATCGCATTGATGACTGCGTGGAGTTCATGCGACATCTGCGCGATAACCAACTTGTCAATGGCTCACAACCGGGAGAGTTGTGTGTAATGGCGACTGGCGGTGGCGCGTACAAGTATTATGACAAAATTCGAGCCGCTCTCGAAGTGGATGTGTCGCAAGAGGATGAGATGGAATGCCTCATCATTGGTGAGCGGTTCTACTCGCTATCAAGAACGTTTTAGCTGACATCTCTTCTAGGACTTGACTTCTTTATAACCGAGATTCCCCGCGAGGTCTTTACCTACTCCGAAACAGATCCCATGCACTTCGTCGTCCCGCAGGATAACATATATCCTTATCTGCTTGTAAATATCGGCTCAGGTGTCTCGTTCCTGAAAGTTACTGGGCCACGATCCTACCAGCGAGTCGGAGGTACGTCGCTTGGTGGTGGTACTCTCTGGGGCCTCTTGTCTCTGCTCACTGGCGCGCGAACTTTTGACGAGATGCTTGAACAAGCCGCTCACGGTGACAACGCCAATGTCGATATGCTAGTTGGCGACATCTATGGAACGGACTATGGCAAGATAGGACTCAAGAGCACAACAATCGCTTCGTCCTTTGGTAAAGTTTTTCGTATGAAGAGAGAGGCTGAATCAGCAGCCGAAGATGGCAGATCTGCTACCCCGGAAGACGCTTCCTTCAACAGCGCAGACGTGTCACGATCTCTCCTTTACGCCATCTCAAACAATATTGGACAGATCGCCTACCTGCAGTCCCAAATTCACAATCTATCCAATATTTATTTCGGTGGTTCTTTCATCAGAGGCCATCGTCAGACCATTAACACACTAAGCTATGCTATCAAGTTCTGGAGTAAGGGGGAGAAGCAGGCTTACTTCCTCCGCCATGAGGGTTACCTGGGAGCTGTCGGCGCATTCCTCAAGAGGAAGCCCAAGAACTGGGGTCGCAAAGGAAGTCTTGAGGGTTTGGACGACCTTGCTGAGTTACGGAGGAATCTCCGCGAAGGGGCACCCAATTCCAGTACATCATAAATTCCAACGAGCAATTCAGGAAGTAAAACCATATCAGTGGCTTCTACTTCAGCAATCACTGACAGGCTTCAAAGTATTGGAAGTTAACTTGAAGTTGCGTCAGGCCGACCGACTTGTCGAGCAACAAACAAATGTGGTTGTATCACGTTCCACAAGCAGCATTTTACGGCGCAGTATCTCAGGCGTTTGTTACATATTCGGGTTGGCTTTCGTTTTTCTTTCACTTGGGGGCATGGGTCATCGTTCTACAGAAAGTGTCAGCGGCGGATAAGCATTTTGCTTCTTTGTTGAGAGACCAGGACCAGGAAGCTTTATTGAAACACATAAGGGTAGCTGCATCAAGCGCAGCAAGTTTCTGGCAGTCTATCGTAGTACTCGGTGTGCGATTTCATGCCAACGGGCGTTTTGGCAAGTTGCTCTTTGATCTAAGAAGGATGTTTATCGTTGTACAACATATGTGCTTGTTCTTAATATCGTGTTGGAAGTATAGAGGATATGTACTTAGAGCATGATGTCAAATTTAAATCATTTCTATAAATGCTTTTATCAAGTTAGCTTTAATTCCTTGCTCTATCTCTTCCCCTACATGCTGGACTGAACTGAAGACATCGTTAGTCTCAAAATGGCCCAGAGAGTTACAGATATCAACGATTGGGTCAGAATGCCTTATGTTATTAGCACAACACAAAACCATTTTTACGAAAACTACCCAGAACAAGCATTCAGAACTGGCCGCACTTTGAACAGACCTGATGCCTGTTGGGAGGCTACAAGCTTGACATCCTTGTCAGATTGGAGTTGTGATTCAGGTGGTCTATGCTGTACCTGCGACTGTGATTGCCAGCCTGCGGCGAGGGTCAACGCGCAGCCAGTTGGATATTTCTGCAAACCCAAGGATGGTGCAAGTGTTGTAAGTTGACAGTCAAGTAGCCAATACCTTGAGATCGCTTACTGATCGTGTATATAGCCTGACGGCACACATTCACAGAGCCTCGGGGCAGGACAAGGACTGCCAGGACCTTTCTACACTCACTATCAGCCCAACACCTATTACAGTTATATGAGAAAACCACGTGTCTTGTATGGCAGACAAGAGGCCTCGTCAGTCGAGGATATGATCTACTATAGAGCCAAGGAGCAGCGGTACAAGAATGACGCCGAGAGAAGAATTCAAGATTGGACACGAGTCATGCCTGAACTCGTTGGCAACAGTCAGACAACATCCTCAAGACACCGCAAGTCGACCAGATGCACCAGGAACAACAATAAAGAAGACGAAAACCAAGGCGTATACAAAGACGAGAAGAAAAAGAAGAACAAGGGGGATGGGGGCAAAAGAAACAAGAGACACGCGTTCACACGACGATCCCACTGGAGAGATTGATAGCAACGAGGGGTGGCCATGAATCAATACGCGAGGTGGTAGCCATTATGGACTGTTGTTAATTGTGTCATGAGGATAAGAGGTAGACCGAGTCTGGACTATATGGTAGTCAATGCACAAGAACTTCTCTGGTAGCAATCCGATATACCCCTTTATTTCCGTAGTCTAACACATGGCATCATTCACCTGCACTGGGATTGTGAAATAAGGCTGATTTAAGCTCAACGAATCACACAGTGAGCAGCCAGTCTAATCCGTAAAGGGAGCGGTCAACTTGATCACCATTTTATAGGTAATTTATCACGCGACAAGTTCAAGCAAGTTAAGGTAGATTGGCATCGCAAGTATATAACTTGCTCCTGGAGCGTGGGCGGTCTTTGAAAAAGGGATACATAAGGTTAAAATATAGTTCAAGGTCGACTGATATAAAAGCATAAGCAGAGACTTAAAAATAAAGTCTAAACCACTATGTTTAAGAACTGGTTTATCTAAAAAAAAAAAAAAAAAAAAAAAAAAAAAAAAAAAAAAAAAAAAAAAAAAAAAAAAAAAAAAAAAAAAAAAAAAAAAAAAAAGATGGTCGTCGTACCAGTAGCAACACCAGAACATGGCAACACACAAAGCGAAATCCACCAGGAACAAAACACCAAAAGGAAGGGGTCTGGCCGGGGATTGAACCCGGGACCTCTCGCAAGCTATGCTGTAGGGTTTTCCCTAAGCGAGAATCATACCACTAGACCACCAGACCGATGAAGCAAACCTGAAGATCCACTCGTGTTTTGTTGTTGCAGGCTGCTCTATTGTTGTAGAGTATATCGTGTGATCGTGGTTAAAAACGAACTTCCCCGCTGGGTCTCCGATCTCGATGTCTTGCAGATCATTGTTAGGTTAGGCTTTTCTGGGAGTACGGTTCGTCCATCCGAAACTCAATTGGCCGAGAGCAGTGCAATGATCCCGGCTGGCCCTGGATGGTGTAACCAGAACTTGGACGATCGACACATTGGAATTGTTGATGTGTAATTCAAATTTGTTCACACCCGTGAAGACCTTGCAAGGTCCTCATCGCTACCAATTGTTCACACTGGGCTTTGGTCATGAGCTTTCATCCTGGACCAGCCTTAGTTTGTGTCTGAAGAAGTACCATCGCGGGGAGGGGACGACTTACAGACTTAGTGAGTTCACGTGTCCGCCCATATCAATCACAGCATCAATAGCATGAAACTCGCAAACAATGTTGTGGTTCATTTCTTTATATTCACTTCGTTGTGGTCGTTGTGGTCGATTTTGACTCATTTTCCCATGCAGTCATTAGGTAGGTATCTTTCATCCTCTGTTCTCTCATTCCCTCTCAGATGTCAAGATCTTTGCTTCTAGTTGCCCTGTCCAACGTCCTTGCCCTGCTTGATGCCCTGGCTCTGGCCTCCGCTGGCGGGAGCGTCCTGGAGACCTTGGCCATGCTCATCCTTGCCCTCAGGGAGGTCGGCGGTCTTGTCAGCGCGGTCGACACGGTCAGACTGGAGTGAGGAGGTTAGTCAGCCAAACAGAATCAACGATGTGATGATTTGGATGAATAAACTTACGTCGGGCTTGCCAACACCGTGGGCGATGTTGTGGTCAGCAGCCTCAAAAGGGCCATTGTCAGAAGAACCGTCTCCGTTGCGAGGCATTGTGATGTTTTTGTGGTGTTGAAGTGTTTGAGGTGTCTTTGAGGTTGGATGTGGTTGATGCTTGAGGATGAAGAAGGCGAATCTCTGTTGAGTGCACAGAAGTTTATTTATATTCCATCGTGTTGGAACCCCGCCGTAGTCGACAGTGATTCAGCATCGTGATGTGTGATGCATCGACGACGTCATTCTGAGCAACGTCATCCCGATGGATGCAATGGATGCTGTTCTGCCCCTCGCTCTCCGCAGCCGCAACACGCCGTCTGTGGGGAATGAACACAAGCCCGCCTAGTAAGCCCATGTCTTATCCTGACGGCAGCTGAGCAAATGCTCCTTGACGGGACCTGCATGAGATTATCCATTCACTGGACAGACCAAATACTCGAATGCTTCCATTGTGGATTCTAGTCAAAGAAGCCCAGCACCTGACACACCTGGGCAGCATGCATGGCCCCATCCACAGTTGCTATTTTAGTTTGATGTGAATGTCAAGTTGGCGGAGCTGCAATCTACTAGATGTACTTCTGGTAGCTTATACATGTCTGCTGACCTCTGCCACCGATTCTGTTAAGTTTAGGGTTCATGATTGGTTCAGCAGAATCTACTTGGGCATTGGGACCACACCTTGCCAGAGCCGCACACACTACACACACACACGTCACGGACCCCCAATGATAGAACGACTCAATTATTGCTTGCTTTGGTTGGCGTGTATGCATAGCTAAACCATCCACTTCTACGAAATGATCCTTGCCCACTAGTCATAGTAATCGCAAAGACTTTTCAACAAAGTGTATCCCATCCTTCAGTGACCCAATCCCAAAATCGCAACAATGACGGCAAATGAAAATATCACAAGCTTCTGTGCAATCTACACAGTTTAGGTACTCATGCTGTACCCGGTGTCGGAAACGAAAGCATAAATCAAGCTTTGCTGGAACGTCCGCGGCGAGCTCTGGTCCTCGGTGCGGGCTTCTCCTCTTCCTCTTCCTCAACCACAGCATCTTCCTCCTCAGTGGTAGCCGCCTTCTTGGCAGCAGCCTTTCGTCCCTTTCTGACAGGAACAGGTTTCTCCTCAGCATCGGATTCGTCCTTTGGCTTCTGAGTAGAAGTTCTGCGTCCTCTCTTGGCAGGGGCAGGGGCAGGAGCAGGAGCAGGAGCCGGAACCTCATCATCGCTTTCGTTCTTGACCTTCTTAGTGGCCGCCTTTCGTTCCTTTTTGACAGGAACAGGTTTCTCCTCAGCATCGGATTCGTCCTTTGGCTTCTGAGCAGAAGTTCTGCGCCCTCTCTTAGCAGGCGCAGGAGCAGATGCAGCAGTCTCATCTTCACTCTCATCCTTGACCTTTGCAGCTTTGCGGCCACGGGCCGGCTTAGCAGCGGGCTTCTCCTCTTCATCCGCCTTGGCAGCCTTGGATGTTCGAGCCTTCTTGGGCTGCGGCTCGTCCTCATCATCCTCATCATCAGCGGCCTTCTTGCGTCCACGCTTGCCTTTGGGCTTGGGCTTCTCTCCATCGCCTGTGGCGGCCTGAAAGGTGTTAGAATCATCAACAATGTGTGTCCACGCTCAGGACTCACAGCCTCCTTCTTTTTCTTCTGTGCTGCAGTCAGGTGAATACCCTTCTCGCCAAGCTTGTTCTTCTCCGGGTCCTGAATGATGTCAACCACTGTAACCTGCGATATAGATCTCTGTACATACCCCTTTGAAATCTTCAGGGTCAATGAAACCCTGGTTGATACAGCGGCGGACCTTCTCTTGCACGTCGGGGTGTTCGCTATCGATGTCAGAACAACATGGATTGAAACAGGATGCCAAAACTCACACAAGCTCATCGTAACCATCGATGAGATCACAGTCGAAGGAGCCATCACCTTGCTGGCATAATTCACGGACATTCTCTAGCTGTTGGCCAGAGACACATCCCCTGATAGGTACCTTGGTATCAGCGATCTACTATCATATAGCTGATGAGCTGCAGATACTTACCAATGTTTCCATGTCCAGCCTCCATGCTCGTTGATGACGACATAGGTACCAAACCGCAGGGTGCCTTTGGTGACTTTATCACCGTTCTTCTTGCACTCAGTGTCCTTGCACGTGGCGCGGTTGTTGGGAGATAACTCTAATACAATGTGAGCGAACTGCTCAATAGAGCAGACAACAGAGGCGCTGCAGTATAACGCGATCATGAGGAACGGGGATATTTTGGGGCCTTACCGATACGATATTCACCCATCTTGGCGGTAGTAGAAGGTATGGGAAAAAAATCCGAGTGTCAAATAGAGTGGTAGAATGAATAGGATGAAGAATGCAAACGATGCTTTGGCTTTGGATACCTAGCTTGTTGCGCGTGTTCGCACGGAAGTGGGGAACAGAGAATGGCTGTTGGAAGGACTGATGCAAGAAGAAGAAATATCTTTTTCGCAAAAGGGACGAGAGATTATATACGCGAGCTTCTTCTGCTCCTGGTGCTCTGTGAATAAAAACAAAGCAGAAAAAGTGCGATAAGGTGAGATGAGTGAATGAAAGAAGGTGGGAAGTGCTGCCAGCTCAGCGTTGGGGATGTATGGTACCTTACCTTAGGTATGGTATGGTATGGGTGCGGTGCGCGCGACCAACGCGTCCCCAGCATGCAGGAGTGGTGACATGGCTCCTTCCTCCCCAGATTTCCGCCTGAAACGATACCTACCTAAGTACCTTTCCTAGGTATGGAAGGTTACAACCAATAATGCAGTTACCAACGATGCTAAATAAAGAAAGAAAATGAAATAAAGGAATAAGGTAGCAAACAGAATGACCTGATAAAATTTCTTTTTCATCTCGTGAATGACTGCCGATTGTTATAAGCGCGAACTAATTCTAAGCTTTTCGGGCTTTTTTCATCCGTGCTTGCCTCTTGTCGCATTTCTTTTTTTGTTCTGGATTACAAGAACGGACACCAGCCTATATACATTGCAGCCAAATTCCTTGGATCAACCGCTTGTTTGATCAATTCCTCCACCTGGCCTTCAACGCCCAAAGGAATGCTTTCAGTTGGAAGCAAACCCCTGACTTTGCGCTTGATACTGTCTACAACGCTTTGAGGCTGCAGCTTAACGCCCACATCTCCTCGCCGATGTGCCCGCTTCTCCTTTTGTAGATCCAACGTTGGATCGTAGATGAACGCCTCTAGAATTGTCATCAGAGTCTCCTCTTGCTGACGAAGAATGCTCAGAGTCAGCTCGCAAGACTTGCGAAATGGTCCTTCGTAACCGTATATACCCATCGCAGCCACCATGTTGTGGGTAAGTCGGAACGGCACTCTTTCAGGTTTGGCAAATGTCAGGCCCTTGTCAAAGAGACAATTGAAATCGACATGGAAAACTCCACCATTGCCCTCCTCCAAATTCACGTTCTCACCATGTCTATCGCCAAGGCCTAAGATGGTGCCTACCATAGACATGACAGCGCACGATCTTGTGTATTTTAAACGCGCAGCAAACCACGCTGACGGACTAGGGAACTGTTGCGTGAACCACAGCTGAAGTACCGGAGGAAATCTCCCCAGAACCTCATCAGTGAATATCCTGGTTTTGCCGTCTGATAAACATGCTTCATCCATGAGTTGCTTTAGAACGGTATAGTCGGGATAGATCTTTCGGGAAGCATAAAGATTGATGAGAATGTCTCGCATAGTTTTGATTCCTGGAACCCATTCAATGATTCCGCACTCTTCATTGAGTGGCGTTACAGCATATGTTCGAATGTAAAGCTGTCTCCGGCTGGATTCAGCATCTCGTTTCAACGACCGATTGATCAATCCATTGAATTCCATAAGACGCTGGTCAGTTCGTAAGTCGTCCTTGGGTTTGATCAGAAGCATGTAGCTTTTGCCATCACTGCCTCGTGTTGTAAGTCGTCTTGGTTTAGCCAGCGAGCTCAGCACGAGCACATCATCCAGAAAGGAGTCAATCGTAACAACATCTCTAGAAAATGCCTTGTGCTTTTTGACATACTCTGATACAGCCGGTAACGTTGCCGTCAAAGAGCTCTCGACAGGCACGACCAACGGACATGGTGTACATTTATGATTGAATCGAAGATCTTTACCCAGGCTGGCATGAACAGTCTTGTTGCCCCGGAAGTCCCCGTTTTGGCATGCAAGAAGCAGCTGTTCGGCTAATTTCTCTCCCATCCTGAGTAGGTGTTTGAAATCGGTCGTAGAGCCCTCAACTTTCTTCGATATGTTCCTGAGTGTCTGAAGGATCTGAGTACCTCGTGCCTTTCTTTCCGACACTTGCCTTGTGGTCATGATGCCAATAAGGCTCCAAAGCGCTTGCCGAGGATGAGCTTCCACGACCTTGGCAATGATGTGTGTCAGCCGGTCAAAGACGTTCGAGTTGGGGTGAGCGATGCGCGCAACAATCTGTGGCAAAGCTGTATAAAAGATGTACGCCGGCAGCCTATGGATGTATTTGTCAAGAAAAGAGTGCAAAAGATTGAGTTGCTCAACGCGTCTTCGGTGAAGCTCACGAGAAAGCGATGCTTTCCCTTCTGGTGCCTTGTCTACTTGGGCACCAAGGTCAAGCCACAGAGTCAAAATTCGCGGGAGAGTCTGGTAAAGATATTTGGTGCCCGAGTTAAGTGAACGGACATAGTTCTCGATGACGAGTCTAGCGACTTCACCGGTGATGTAGTTATCGCTCTGGTCATCGGCTTTGAGCGGCTTTTCAGCTTCGAGGATCTTCTTGTAATGACGGCCAAGATAATAATGCCCCTTTTCCCAAGTCGAGAAGGTCTTGGGTGGCTGCTGATATTTTTCACGCAATGCACCTGCGTGCGTCTGCCCAGCGCTATCAAGCCATTTGGCAAGCAGCAGCTGTGCTCTAGCCGTCAAGAGCTTCTGCTGTGGGCTCAACTTGCTTGAACTTGTGCTGGTTGCTGTCCCTGTTTGTGTCATGAACTTGTTGCTCTTAATTGCTCCCTGCAAAACCTGTATTGCCTTTCGGTGCTGATCTTCTCTCCAAAGAAGCTTGGCATTCTCAATAGTAGCCGCATCATCGCCCAATTTCGAAGCGTGGAGAATAGCATTAAAAGACTGGTGAAGCGAGTTCGACTTCCGTGCAAGGCGTGCACTCGAGAGCCATAGTCCAGAAATGTCTAGGTCAGTGAATGTAGGCCTGTGTTCGTAAGTATATGGGCTGTCGATAGCTCTTGTACAATGTATCTTACCTGGTCAACTCCATGGCGGCACGGCGAATACCAAGAAGATATTGCTTGTCGTTCATGTAAGCACCTATAATTTCGAGTCTCCTTTCTAGGAGGGCTGCTGTCGTTTGGCGGGCGACCTCGTCACCCCCTTTTGTTCCTATTATGATTTCCACGTCCGTCAGAACATGTGACTTAAGAAGGAGATCATGACAGGCTTGTAAGGATGAGGTGGATGCGGTGTTCATAGATGATGAGATTTTGACTCTGATATCCTTCATTATCTTAATGAGCTCTTTAGGCTTGTCTTTGGCTCTCAGCTTTTCGAAAAGGGTCGCAATCGATATGTTGAAGTCTTCAATAGGATCGCCGCGAAACCGTTGAGTGAATTTGGTAAGGCTCTCCCACCTTCCTGTAACCCATGCCGCCTCTACTGCATAAGGCATGATCTTGTTGTCCGTTGACGCGTCTGTGTGCATACCCTCGATGTGATTCAACAATCCCTCTGCCAATAATTAGCTCATGTCAGAACAAAGGACCAAAGTAACCTACCGTGCTGACCAGCCTGCTTCAGGCAATGAAGTAAGTCGATCTGGATATCCGTGTTGTCAGGGTTCTCAGCGAGTTGCATCTCGTACCAGTTCTGAACAGCAGTCCACCTGCCTGCTTTGCGATGACTCAGTATCTGTTGGTTGATGTCAAGAACTTGTAAATGAGCTGAAATTCCATCAAGGCCGTCAGGCTCATCGACATTGGCATAAATATCCTGGAGTTTTTGCAAGAGACGGGTACGCTCCCCTGGTTCTTTCTTCCTCTGTTCCATTTTGTGGGCATGCTGCTCTAAATGAAAAAGAGCACGAGCGTATTCATTACAATCGACAGCCCTTTGTGCTATGAGTTCGGCTGGGATCAGATCGAGAGCCTCCTGTACTTGAGCTAGCCTCTCCCTGTCAGTTTCAGTGAGGCGACCAGCTGCTCGCCTAGTTTGCATCCATCTCATTGCATAGTCTACAACGCGAAATACAAGCTGATAACCAGTTAGTTCTTGTCACAGGAGTAGGGTATTTTGAAGCTTACATGACAGTATCGCCGCGTATCCTCCTTCTCCTGATACGATGCCGCCTCAGCGGGCTGATATTGCAAGATCGCAAGAAGTTCCCCGAGAATATCGTCCCTTTCTTGCTGTGTAGTCCGAGACCCTAAAAGAGTATGCAGGACTATATAGGGAAGGATGAATTCTGCAATAGAGAGATCTTTAACACGAATGACACGCGCCAGAGGCTCGAATATCAAATCGGCAAATGGCGTCTGCCCCTTACGTAGAAGGTCCAGAACATAAACCCTGAGCCAACTCGGATAAGGTCTGCCAGGACGAAAGAGCGGATACTCGATCTCAGTATGTGGCATTGGAGCAACGACATAGCGGGAGGCTAGAAAGGGTGCCACCACTTCCCGAACAGTTTCTGGCATTGCAACCCATTTTCGATAGATATCGTTTCCACCTTTCATCCCCGAGTTTTCCATGGCACATGCAGCTTTGATGTCGCACCTGCCCATGAGTTCCTGCATAGCAAAAGACAAGAATCCTTGGAACTTAACATCAGTCGTAGATAAGAATGCTGGCACCAGGGCCTCTTCCAGAAGAAACAGGACGAAGTCCGTAGTTTCTTCATTCGTCGCAAAATTGTTCAATATGACGATTGATCGTTGTTCTCTCACAGTCTCGATCTTACTGGGGTCCAGACAGCCTATCAAACCCATTGCTTCCGTACATAGGCGAGCTATGTCTCCTGGGAAGCCGCTGTATTTACTTGCACAATCCAGAAGCGACCGCATAAGTGCGACGACGCCAATATCTGACTGTAGACTAATCTCAGATGTATGAAGTGCCGCTTGGTTTTCCTGAAGGTACGGTATCAGTTCTGTTAATGCTTGAAGGGCAACACCGGAGTTTTCGTGGCATATTCTCGCAGCGAAAGCTTCCAAAACCTCTTCAACCGCGAGTGTTGCTGGCCTATGCTGATCCAGCTTTGCCTCTATGTCCCTCAACTCTGGAATGTGTCTGAGCGACGGGAGCTTGATGATGTACTTCGCAACAAGGGGGTCAAATTCATCGACGAGAGACTTGAGCATTTGCTGCGCTAGAAGAGCGGTTGACTCGTTCATGAAGGGCCAGTAACGGGTGACGACGAAAAATGTTGTTTCTAACAATGCCTCGACATCTGTCTCCTCAAGATGTGTGAGCATCGATGCCCAGCATGAGAAACTTGCTTCTCTCAGTGCATCTTGTGCTAGTGTCGAGAGCAAACAAGCAGACATCTGAAAATACAGTCAGTATTGCGATTCAAGGCCGGACATGTATGGCACGTACTTGCGGTCGGGCTGTGCTTGCATAGCCCCTCGACACCCTGATCATTTCCTCCATGGCCCGAATGTAGCGCCGACGCTCTGGATCAGGAAGGCTCTGGTCATTGATGACATCGAAGAGACATGCCATGAGGCCAAGAAGCTGTGAATGAATAAACCGAGCAGTGTGGTCCGACTTCTTAGCTCGGGTTTCTTTGTTTGCTGGGATCATCATTTTCGCCATGGTGTCTAAAGCTTTGCGGACCTAAAGATGCATAAGCTTACGCCAAAGATGCATTGATGTTTGACTTACTGGTGCCTTTTTTGTTTCATCTGCGTCGCCGGCAGCTTTAAGTAACTCTATGACAGTGAGCACTGGTTCCACCTGAAGCAGGTTAACGAGTGGCTCGCTTTGAAAATGTGTCGATAACTCCTCGAGGCGAGATTTTGCGAAACTAGCGATATCATCTGTATCTTGAACCAAGAGCAAGGCCAGCGTTGCGGCTAGGTTCGCAGGGTCTATTAATGGTAGCCAAACCTCGGACTCCTGCCGTGCCTCCGCAATCTTTTGGATGACGTCTTTTTGCTTGTCAAGCACAAGCCACGGCAGTGCGTGGGTTTGAATCAGGAGGAGTAACTCGTTGACAGACACTTGTAGCAATTCAGCAATTGTCCGGCTCATTTGAGGGCGTTGGACCATGTCCTTGGTGGTCATGTATGCTAGGTTTGGCCAGAAAGGCTCGAAAAGCCTACGTGGAGTTACTCGACGAGCATCAGCTAGGTTCAATAGCTCATTGAAGGCACAAGCTGACACGATATTGTTGTTGCTTCCCAAATACTCCAAAAGCTTGATGAGGACCAAGTTGAGTTCATGTTCCCAGACCACTGTTCCCAATTGACCCCATGCCATGATGAACGTTTCAGTTAAATTAGGCTGGTTCTTATCTGAGATTGACTTCAGGAAGGCAATCGAGTTTTTCCTATTGCGCGAGATCAAATCTTGCGTTTTCATGGGAGAAGATCCATTTGATACATTTGTCCGGGAATTGCCATCTGTGAAGGCCGCTTGAGCCTGATTCACTCGTGGATTGCCAGCATTGGCTTCTGCTGGTCGAGCCCGAAGAACCATGCTGGAAAGAATGGGCTCTGGCCTAGCCAAAGACAAGGTGGCTAGAACACGCCCGGCAGCTATTCGCAGCTCCCTCATAGAGCTGTTCAAGGACTGGAGACACCACTGGCCTATCCCAGATGTTTCCAGATTAAGTAATTCGGTATCTTCACAATGGAGAATCACTCTCCTTACAGCCAACATGGCAGCAACCCTCGGACGCCGAGATTCAGCAAGAGCGGGAAGTCGGATCAGTTTGGTGAAGAGTGCCTCGATTCGGGATTTATGCACGATTGCTCCATGGAGGTTTGGTCGAACTGGAGGTGCATTATGTTCACAAATGGAGCAGGCTGTTTCTGTTACTTCTGCTTTTGTACCATTGGTTGTCTCGTTGCCACCATCCGCCACGCAAGATATCCGCGATAGCAAATCAAGCATGAGGCATTGACGTGATATGTCAGCCTTTGGAAAGGCTCCCCTACTTCAGTAAGCATTTGGAGACCAAATCAGTGAAATGACTAACAATATTTGATTTTCAAGATCAAGAAAATCATCGTCCACATCCGCAAGTCCTATAACGTCACCCAAACGTCTCATGAGAACCGCCATAGGGCTAGAGTCTGTCTGTGCTATCTTTCGGCGTTTGGGACGGTCTTGTGAGCCTGTGTCAGGAGGCTCGTAGTTCAGCGCCAAGGTCTCGATGATCTCTTGCACTGCAGAATCCTCAAAACTCAGTGGATGTAGGTTTGAGGAGAGCAGCTTTGGCCTGGGATTGAAATTAATCTGTCTTAAAGTCTGTATCACCCTCTTATTGAGAATTAGTTGCTGATAGAGGAATGATGGAGGATGTAACCCACCCACAGATCTGTTCCTTCAGGCAGGGACGTATAAAACATTGAGGACTCATCTATAATGCCGGAAACCGCTAACCGACAAATCGACGTATTTTCAGTAGAAGCTGCTGTTATTGTAGCTAGAGCCATGCAGTATATATGCCGTGTTTCCTCATCAATGTCCAGCATTGACATGGGATTGAGGCTTGTCGCGATCTCACCGCAAAGCAATATGATGAGAGTGATGGCCTTCTTATGAGCAGAAGCGCTAACGCCTTTTCTTCTCAGTAGTGCTCGCTCGATTTCTTGAGCCAGTTGGAGGACATAAAGCGAAGAGGCAGGAAAGTTGCTACCGTACCGGGTCTGAATAACCCGCATGTCCCCTAGGACATCAATCAACCATACCACACTCTCTGAGAAGGAGGTAACGTTATCAAAGGCATCATCCGAAGCTGTCAGAGGATAGGCGACAGCTTTGCAAAAACTGATCAGTTGCTGCAGCGCTTGTGCCATTCGGTCAACAGAATATGTAAGTTGGCTTGTGGAGGGCGAGTCCTTGTCGACCGATTGGCTGAGAGCAATTTGAGGAGGTAGAGAAAGTGACTTGAAACTTTCTTCCACAGATGGAACTAGTAGAGGGTCTTGAAGCTGTTGAAGGATATCTGTCAATTGGTTGTGAGTTGCTTTATTGCCCAAGTCGAGCTAACTACTTACGAGATGTGATGGCACGCAGATAGAACAAAAACGACGGCGCCATATCCCACAGGGTCCAGTTTTGTGCTATTACTAGCATTGTATACTGGAGGAAGCCTTCAATTGCTTCTGTAAGTTCAAGACACTGGGAATGGCCAAGGAGTCTAAGCAGTTGAGGAAGCAGCCAAACCCATAATGGTTCACGCCCACGGAACATATACTCTTGCTCACCCACTCGATGTTTCAGAACTGCTGGCGTTTCTTTGATAGAGAACCTAAGAAAACTGATGGCCTTGAGGCCTTCTGTCCGTACTTGTGTTCGATCAAGAAATGGGTCATCCAATCGAATTCCTTCAAGAACAGCTCTTGAGTAAACATAAATAAGCATATGATTATGCTCAACTCGGTCCTCTGGCGTCTTGAGAAGAGTCGGATCATCTTTGACGCGTTGAATAATAGCAAAGAAACCTTTGAGTTCACTGTTCTCATCTGATTTGGAGGATTTCGTGGATGCTGAAATATTCTCCACAAGCTGCGCAGCCAGGGTTGACGGAGGAGGGCCAGTAACGACTCTACCGGCCGGTTGTCCATGGTCTGGTACAGCCGCCCTTGAATGCAGATGAGCCGCCATGATGCATGCAACATCGTTGGGTGCGGCTGTATCTTGTTACTTCAAAGATGGATGGTCAAGGTTGGCGTCCTGAGGTAGTAGTCAAGTAGTAGGTTACTCTAGGTCCCTGCCCGTAGAAGGTACCTTCAACGTGGAGGACGCGACGGGACTGGTCACGGTGGAGCAACACGAAATCACGTGACCAATAAGAACCATTTAGTTAGTAGTCTCAGATCCATGTTAAACGACATTTCAATACAATTGTTCATACATACAACGGCAAAGGCTATATAGTGTTATCGATATATGATCTCACACCCTCGTCTTCCCCTTTTACTCTTGTCTGTTTTCGGAATGTGTCTTTCTAGCTCAACGTTCATAGCGAACACTGATCATGTCATGTGTTATTCCTAGACGAGCGCAGCTTAGCATTTGGTACATCAGAAACACTACGGAATTCCTTACCTCCAAGTTTGACTGTGTACGTGATCTCCGCTGACCCGTACACGGCCTCGATAGCCCCTTTCAAACAATAGTACCGATGCCAACCCATACGTCTGATCTTCGCGGTTCTTTTGACTGCTTCTGGGATCTTTCTTAGGTCAAGTGAGAGCGTTCCGATGTGCTGCGTTGTTTCATCGAGATGGACGGGAGCTTTCCCATCATTATTGTTGCTGTAAATATCGATCTCGGTTTGTGGCACATGGCCAAGCATTACCGGGAGATCGCATTGGTATTCTATCCGTGACGGTTTGCCTTCTGGGTAGGACTCACCCTTCCAAAGTTAGTGGCAATGAATACGACGTTTGGAGAGGAGTCAAGACACCTTCTGAATAAACCAACACATTTCCGAGACGACTGTTTCTTGCTCCTTTTCCGACCAGAACCTATAACCGTCAGCAACCAGAATTGTCAGAATGAATACATACGAACGCTTCTCTAGGATTGTGTTTCATCATATCGTATTTCGTCATCAAGCATGTACCGTACGATCGTCTTGCAATTCGAGATGCAACCTCCACCCGAGTGCCTGCGGGCTGATATCGACTGAGCCCATGCATCGCGGCACCTTTTACCACCGCCGTCCAGCCACTTTCTGGTTGAAGAACATCTGTTCGGCTAGAAATTGCATCACGTACGCGTGACTTCAGATATCGACTTTGCCCGAATCCTCCAACCATGATCACAGCGGCGACACCATCTCCCGCCATCTTGATCTGTTCCTTGATAAGACACACGACATCCTTCATAATCGGCTCAAAGATTTTGGTTTTCATGTCGTCTTGTGTCATGGTGTATCGGTTCCGTCGTAGGCCAAGACTGGGATCGACTTTGAGAGTCAAAGGTTCGCCCTTCGGAGAAAAGGTCTTCTTGAACTGTATCCCTCTGAGCGAACTGGCTTGAAAACAAAATCCTTGGGGATCTTACCGACTCGAACTCACTCAAAGCTATTACGAGTCTCTCATCAGTCCAGTACTTGTCTCCATGAGTTTGTTTCAGATGCCGACGGAAGCGCATATTCAGCATGGACGAACCGCACTTCCCGCCTGTACCCTCTGTGACTTCTTTTACTTCAACTCTGCCTATTTTGGTTACTTGATAAGAGATCAAGTCAACGGTACCGCCTCCTGCATCGCAAACAACAAATTTTCGACCTACTTGTAATGTAGAAGGGCTAAGGGTCTTGAGGGTGTACAAAGCGGCTGCCTCCTTGTCATTTGTTAGCAACACACTTACCTTTGCGACTCAAAATCTAACTCACTGGTTCTGATATGAGCTGGATCCTCTGATTACCACAAAATCCTGCCATGGCTGCGGCCTGCTCCGTCGATTGCTTTGCTTTTGGCGACCAAATAGCGGGGACTGTGACAACAAAGTCCATGGGTGTCGATTTTACCACACTCGACGATAGTCTCTTTTCAAGCAGACTGACGAAATGCTCATGGAGGCATGATAGATAGACCTTGGTCAGGTCTTTTGCCGATTCTCCCTCCTTGGTGATCTGGGCTGGATCATCCAGCTTTCTAAAAGGGTCTGGTCAAACACGGCAAATGGACTGAAGGCACAGCAAGACGAACAGCTTGAAATACCTGATCCTCTTCGCAGACTCGGGAATCTGAAATCCCCACTGCCAACCAGTCGCCACTCTTCGGAGCTCAGTTGGTACTTTAGGACTGCTCTTCGAAGAGCCGGCTGAGGGCCATTCTGTCAAGACATGTTGAACATCAGGCTGCAAGGGTTAGCAAGCTCACTCCGAGAGATGTTAGGAAAACACTTGCCCGAGTTGTGTCAGCCCAAGCGACACCTGAGTATGTCGTTCCAAAATCTATGGACACAACGATTCTGCGATTGCTCATGACCAAACTACTTCCTAAAGGCTTCCTATGGTTGTTTCATTGTCAACTATTTGTGGTGGAACAATCAGGCATGATCTAGTGATGTACGGGATATGGAACTTCTCTACCCAAAAGCTCATTCGTGAAACTGGGACTTGCCCCAGAATTCACTCACGTCGACTCCCAATTGGTTACAATAGAAACCAGCAGGGCGACGGAGCATTCTTCGCCAGCACCCGAGGATCTGTCTTTACTTCTGGACGTGGCCAGCCATTCAATCTGACTCTTCAGGCCTCATTTGTTGTGTGGGCCTGGAGATCTTTGGGCCTCGCCCATCCTCACCGACCAGTTATGGAGCAATGACCACCACTCTTACCACCAACTTCGGCCTCGTCAGGGCTTTCAATCGAGTGGGTGGATGCGGTTTGGGCATTGCAGACTTGGCCTTGAGCAGAAACTCGGCGCAGCTACGAATGACTGGAACCCTGGTAAATTCAGGCAGTGGAGCATGCGGTGGCCGCCTAAGCGGCCTAAGACGAGACCGACTTTTGATGTCGTACAGCTGGAGACTTCCGAATGCATTAGGTACCCATCGCCTGGCGCCTAAACGAAACCATGCTTAGGTCCAACTGCAATGTGAGGCTGCGAGTATTGACTTCTTTTCCAAGGAGTCTTAACGCCCATTGGTGGTACGCTGAAAGACGACCCCGATGTGTTGCCTTTGATTCGACTTGCCAGACGGATAGAACCAATCTAGCGGATTACTGGTCAACCGCTGTCGCTTAACGATTTGCACGTGCGACATCGACAGACTCACCTTCGTCTTTGGGCTGTTATACACAATAACTCTGAGTTCAGCAATCCGTCATCATGGATCCGGAGACGACCAAACAAGGATCCCTACAGAATCCCGCACTTAAGGACAAACTGGCCAGCGAGACCCATTTGCGTCGCTTCACGGAGAATGTATTGGATTCCAGGCAGCAGGAGATCGAGCACCGGGAATCAGAAAAGGGCCAGCTTGCAGAAGAGGCGGAAACTCTCAGAAGACAACTTGTCGTCGCGCAGCGGCAGCTCGCAGAGGCTCAGGATCAGATCTTTCGTCTGCAGCCTAGAAGAAGAGACATCACAGAAACAGAGGCCAGAGAAGCCTACAAGATCCTAGTTGGGAATGTCCAGCGCTGGGTTGAGAACCGTGCTGCTTATGCTATTGAGGATCTCGAAATTAGTCGCCTTGCTGCCAGAGCATCCTCTCCAGAAGGGCTGCGACTCGTTTCTCTTCTCAGGGAACAGTCCAGACGATGCTTGAATGTTACGCAGTCTGATGAATTCCACATCACTGGGGTCATCATGAACTATCTCCACGTTACTTTGTTCTCAAAATCTTTTTATTGTCCTCTCGATGATACGGAGGGTGACGGTACGTCGAGGTGGGTCGATGATCTGGAGAACACTATGTCTCGACTGCCAAGAGGTTTGTCTTAATCCCTGGTCGTGATATATATATATATATATACCAAGCTGCTGACACCTCACAAGATACAGCTCATTGTAGGGAATGGAGAAGCGAGACGCTGACTGCTTTGACTCACCAACCATCTTTCAGAGCGCGCCGGCAAAGGTTTCTGAATTTTGTTGTTGACGATCTGACAACTCTACTCTCAATCATTGCCCCGAAAAGTCCTCACGCTGAACTGCAAGGTTCTATTCGTCGAAGCATTATAGAACCTGCAGCAGATCTCGCTCATCAGCTTCACCTGGCACCCAGTGTATTTTCATTGAAGTGGCCTGCTCGCACAGCCGCGACGAGGTTGGAGGTCTACCAATGCTTGAATATGGCGAATGGAGGAGCAACTCTTGACTTGAGTGGAACAAAAGCAGCTTCTCAAGCACGCCGCGGTATCATATATCTCTTTGATATAGCTCCCGGGCTTTTCGTCGAGAGAGTCGAAGGTGGTAGAAAGCTCGGGTTGAAAGCAATTGTTAAACCCACAGTTCTCGTCACTAACTCAGGTGGGGATGTGATCCAGGGCCCAACAATCATGGGTTTCCTATGGAATAATACTCCAACTTCTCAAGGAACCAGTCGAAGCTCATCAAGAGCATCAAGTTCAAGGAGTGAGTACAGGTATTCCCCACACCCTTTTAAGCTCTGACATGTCTTAGGACCAGCTGGATCTGTCATATCCGCATCAAGCAGACAAAGATAATAGTCCTTGTTTTATGAAATTGTGTTCTTGTAAGACGTAGAAGTCAGTAAACAGAGACAACAGCATTAAAAGGATAAAACAATGAATGGAGAAGAATAAAACGCACGTATGCTACTTTTATTGTCTGGAGGATATCATATTTGGGTATTTTAAGGAAATTGGGCTAGAAATGCTTTTATCGATACCAATAACCACCATAACCTTCCTGATGAGTAACGATTACCGGTATACTGCGAACTCGACGGGTTGGCCGAGGAGGGAGAGGTGGTGGTGGAGCGCCAACTTCTGATGCAGGTCGCCGCCGACCAGGAACAGGAATCTGTAGAGTGTTTCCTGGATAATGCGGCGCGAGTGGCCTTGGGGGAAGTGGTGGTGCTGATGGCCGTGACTGTGAAGGCCGCCTGAGCCTCTCAGGCACATTCGAGGCGGAATTTCTGGTCCAGCGCTGGCCTTGAACTACTTGAGGTTGAAGGTGTAGGGGTCTTTGACCAGGTGCCCTGTTGTTTGGCGGTGATGATTCTCTCCCTCTGGGAGGAGTTGCTCGCTTGACCTCACGGGCAGGTTGCTTCACCTTTTTTGCGGGATTCGGGACTTTTCTCACAACTTTTGGCTTCGGTGGACCGGTAGCCTTCGCAGATCCAGTTGCTTCCTTGTCTCCTGAGTTCTGTCCAGTTGGTGCCGGAATGAAAGGTCGTACACAGTTGCTGATATAGTCGTTGGTGACCCCTAGTGATGTGGCATCGACAATGCCTGAGTTGATCCTGTTGATATACTCCTCCTTTGGTTCGCTGTCGACAATGTATCTTGGACTTATGTATACCAAGATGTTCTGTTCCAAATGTGGCTTGTGGTTGATGGCCTTCCTCTGCCCTTCCCCTTGCTGGGCAAGGACTCGTGCATGGTCTGGGCCACCATGGTTGACAATCCAAGACACAGGTCGGCGATATAAGGCGGCTTCAGCACGTCGTAGTGTAACAGTCATGTACTTCTTCTGATATGCGTCCTTGGAAACACCTTCGTTGATATCAAGACGAGCCTCATCGCGAGGATTGATCTCATAAACAAGGCCTTCAACCCAATGTCCTTGCGACTCGGTAACATTGGCATATCCACGCTCGTTGATCTGCCAACGATGATCCGCCAGCTTCCCAGAGCCGATGAATTTGCTTCCAGGACATCTTCGTTTCATCTGCTGTAGATGAAGATTACTACCATAGGCAAAGTAATACTTGGTGAGCGGCTGGCCGGTGTCGGCCTGAGCCTCATCTGCAGACAAATTCATGCTGTAGATCTGTCGGGGGAAGCAAGCTCCGTGTATCCGATGGCGAGATGCAGGGGGAAAAAGTGCGTATGTTTATTTGTGTGTGTGAGTGTGCGTTACGTTTTCGTTGTGGTAGGAGAATGTGATAGTGAGCTAACGGCGATTAAGATGTGATGTGAATCGGCTCCCTCACATGAGAAAAACAATATCGATCAAGAAAGCAGTGTCCACGTCGACTTGGCTAAAGCATAAACTAACTTACGTACAGTAGCTGTGCTCAGCGCCAGCAAGCGCTCAATGGGCGGAGTGGGCTAGGTTGTGCAAGTCACCGACTGGGCCTTATTGTCACATTGGGCAGCAAGTGAGTCAGATTTTCACAAGAGGAGACGCCAGCTCATGGCCAATTGCTGCGTCCCACGTTGGAAGACTCGCAAGGTACCTGGCAAGCGAACTTTGCAGGGTAGAAGCGGTTACATTTTCGTGAATACCGACTGTCTGGGCCTTTACAAATGACTGGCAAAGACATGTGTCGTTTGATAGCCTCAGAATATTCAGACGCTACAGCACGGCCCAGCCCGCCTCCATTTCCTTGTTGGGCTCCGCACCGTGGCCCCGGTCTTCCGGCATTTCTCCCCGCAGCCCCCGGCTAGATCCACAACGACAGCTTCCGCCAAACCATGCATCCGCACCGCCATTCGAGGCCAGAAAGGCTTTTGCTGTACTTAACCTGAAGGCGAGGCGACAATTCTGAGATGTGACAATGACTGCTCAGGTTAGGCGAGCGAGCATGTTACTGACAATAAGCTGAGAGCCAACGACTGACAATTCTGTGGTTGTGTTTGGGTAAAGCACGCGGCCTTGTCCAAACGTTTCGAACAAGACACAAGCGCATCAGGAAACGGGTGATCACCTCCATGTAGTACGACTCCCTTTCCGCAGCAAAGTGATCATTCAAAAACCAAGGTGGTTGTCTTATACATACCTACAGCTGCATGGCCTAATCCGCCACCTTCATCCTGAACCCAGCCAATTCTACCATTCTTTCTTTTTCGAGTCCCTAAATACTTCCCACATCTTGTCGATCATGACGGTACCAAAGCTCAGACATTACAACTTCGGCGTGGAGATCGAGGCTGTGGTAAAGCCTTACGGCGGTGCCGATAGCTTTACCAACGTCGACTGGTATCGACAATTAGCACAGAAGCTACGGAACCGCAACATCGAAGCTGTGCACGATGACTGTTCAAAATACAGCAAGCATCCGGAGTACTACGGTGGTAAATGGTTTGTCACTAGAGACGGATCTCTGAAGAGAGAGCGTCCCATGGGTATGTCATTCTCTTCACCGTGAAACCAGCGAACCGTTTAGTTTGCTCACTAACAGGGGATCCTAGTCTGCATGGAAGTAGTTTCCCCTCGTCTGGATACCAAGCAACATGTCAGCGGCATACTTGGCGACTTTTGGGAAGCGATGCGTGTACACTTCAGTCCCCAACGCGATATCTCCTGCGGCGGCCACGTCCATGTCACTCCCGTCTCTGGTCAGAACAAGTTCTCCCTACGTGGCCTCAAGAAGATTGCGTTTGCATCTGCTGTTTATGAAGAATTTGTGGCAGCTGTTCTCCCTAAAGCCCGTCGAGAAAATCAGTACTGCCGCCCAAACAGTCAAAGCATGGGTTCTGGGTTGCGCGAAACGCTGATACGATTCGGTAAGAGCAAGGCCTCACTCATCCAAGTCGCATCAGAAATCAAGTCAACGACATCCGAGATGGATTTGTGCTACTATATGCAGGGAAACCGATATGTGCTATGGAACTTCCAGAATATTTTTCCAAACCCCAAGACAGGGAAATGTACTGGCACGGTTGAATTCCGAGGGGGCAACCAATTTTTAAGTACCAAGGGGACTCTTGCCTGGGTAGCGTTCGTAATGGGATTCATCACACTCGCCTTGGAGGAGGTAGGTCGCTTCAATGACGTGCTATGCTCAAACGCTGTGTTGACATCTCTTTCAGGATCTTCTCAACAAGCTGACTACTTATACTTCGCCCGACGACCCAAAATTTCAGACACGTCTCGAAGACTGGTGGAAACGGATACGACAAGCGGCTAAGCAATCAAAACTCTCTCGATATCTACCCTTGGAGTACATAAAGATGCACACAAGATAATCATATGGCATAAGAATTCTGCCACGACGACGACGACAGGCCCGACCCCATGCAGCCTTGGGTTCAGGGCATATGTTCTTTGGCTTATTATGGGATACAGTTTCAGACATAGCATGATTCATGATTTCAGTTAATGGAGCTATTGGTGTCTAGGCGTACGCATGTTTTGACAGTGGAGATTAATTCTCTACGTATTTGATACAGTGGAATAGGCCCAACGACTGGGAGGGCATCCTGAGGGATCAAGTGCATTTCTCTTTACTAGGTAGCGTATCACGCAATCTCATTTAAGTAACGCGCCAAATTCATTCATCATGGTATCCAATATCATTCATGACTCTCCGTCCTTTGTTTCGCCCTCTTCAAATAGTACAAGTACCGTGCCAGCCTTGCAAATATCCTGCACGACGTTAGATCAGATAGCAGAGAGGATTGCCTTGGGAACTTACCCCTTCTTTATGTGCAAGCTTCTTAATTATGCCATCCTGCGGCGACCGGATAATAGTTTCCATCTTCATTGACTCAATTCTGGGAAATTGTTAGCTTATTCTGCACATCGGAAATGGTCAACTTACACCACAAGTGGTGCTCCCTTTTGCACACTTTGACCCTCCACTACTTCGTTCTTCAAGATCTTGCACGGCATCGGCGCTGCAACTGAGGCGCTTGACTCTTTCAGCCCAAGAGCCTTCTCGTACCACTTGGGCGGGAGAAGGACCAGATCTGTTTTGACGCCATGCTGGAAGACAGTAACCTTTGTGTCATTGTCTGTGTGTTGAGGGACCACGGAGGATTGAATGCGTTCAAGGGGGAAGTATGACTCGAGTTTCATCACTTCACCTTCGGGCTCAGGCTGGCAGGCAATATTAGTAAACACTTGGGGTGCCTCGTCACCTTTTCGGTGGACAGCGACGTTGTAAAGGTTATGGCCTGTCTGTGTCACGCTGGCCTCAACGACCTCGCCCTCTTCCTGGCTATACCCATCCAGGATTTTAAAGTTCAGCTTTCGTTCCCCGATGTTGTTAGTTTCGCCAAAGCCAAGTGTCAGGCCATGGGGACCAGAATTTTGAAGTTCAAAGTTGATCATCCCGAGGGCTGCTTGGGCGACAACCTCATTCTTGATAGGTCGGGGTTTGAAAAGCTCCTCTCGCCACTTGTCGATGAAGCCCGTTTCCACGTCTCCAGCCACAAAGGCATCAGTCTCGCAAAGCCGCTTGAGGAATTCGATATTTGTAGCAACACCAACAATTTCGTATGAGCGTAGAACGCTTTCCAATTTGGCGATAGCACGTTCTCTCGTATCGCCTCGCACGATAAGTTTGGCGATCATGCCGTCGTATGCTTCAGAGATAGTGTTACCAGATCGAAATCCCCAATCCAGGCGAACATCCTCGTTCTGTAATTCGGTAGGTAGATAAGCTCTCACTAATTTGCCGGAGTCGGGAATAAAGCCCTTCTCAGGATTTTCGGCATAGATTCGTGCTTCAATGGCGGCACCCCTCTCATTCATTTGCGCTTCCACCTCTTCTTGGGAGAGTGGAAGCTTTTCGCCTGCAGCAACTCTGAATTGCCATTCGACAAGGTCCAGACCAGTCACCATCTCCGTGACAGGATGCTCCACTTGAAGTCGGGTGTTCATTTCCATGAAATAGAATTTGTTGGTATCCTTGTCGAGGATAAACTCAACAGTGCCAGCGCCGACATAGCCAACTGCTGAGGCTGCTTTTCTCGCCTTATCCCAGAGATCGTGTCGAGTTGCCAGATCTAGATCTGGAGCTGGGGATTCCTCGAGGATCTTTTGATGCCGACGCTGAACACTGCAGTCTCGCTCACCAAGCGCGACGGTATTACCCCATTTGTCGGCAAAGACTTGCACCTCGACGTGCCTTGGTCGAATGATGTACTTCTCCACTAGCATGACCTCACCTCCTTCACCAAATGAGGCCTTGGCTTCGGCACGGGCGCTTCTCAGTTGCGTCAAGAACTCCTCCTCAGTTAGGACGATTCGCATTCCCTTGCCTCCACCTCCTCGTACACTCTTGAGGAGCACCGGGAAAGTGATATTTTTGGCATGCTCCAGGAGTTCCTGCTCGCCCTGGTCTGCTCCATGATACCCTGGCACACAGGGAACATTTGCAGCAGTCATAATTTCTTTACTGCGGGCCTTGTGTCCCATGTCGGCCATGGCACTAGCGGGTGGTCCGACAAACACGATGCCTTCCTCTTCGCAACGCTCTGCGAACTTGGAGTTTTCAGATAAGAAACCATAGCCGGGATGGAGTGCCTGGATGCCATTTTGCTTCGCTAGAGCAATGATTTTCTCGCCGTCAAGATAGGCGTTTGCAGGACCTAGCGCCAAAGACTGGAACCCCGAAGAAGCATGCCATGAGCCAGCGTCAACATCCGTATAGACAGTTGTAGCCCGAATGCCAAGGCACTCAGCAGTCCGGTTGATACGGATGGCAATCTCACCACGGTTGGCGATAAGGACAGAGTTGATGGGTGTGTGCTTTGGTGCAGACGATGAAGAAGCCACCGAAGAAACAGAAGAAACAGAAGCGCTTGAAGCAGACGTTGAGAGGAATCGAGGGAGGGGCTTCAAAGGAAGTCGACGGTTTGCGCGAAGTGTGGAACGCATGATGAGTGATGGGGGTAGAGAAGCGCCCAGTGTGAGATCAAGGATCAGTATGCAACTTGACAGAAATTCAAAATGATTCTCACTAACATAAATAAGGAGAGAAACCGACTGTAAATCTTCGTCCCGGGTGATGAGCCGTCCCTAATGCCGTGAATGTGCTATGCCGTCGGCTTTGAAGGTTCAAGTCGGCAAGGACAGACGTGACCGTGAGGAGCCGCAAGTAACCGGTACCTAGGTACCTTCCCCAGACGACAGTTTAGAAGCTTAGGTAGCTCGAACGAACTCTGGGGAAAGCACACCCAGTATCATTACGTCACATTCCTGCAATTACGGATGACTCAGCAGCTGCGACCGGGATTTGCGGAACGTTACCGTGCAGCAAGTCGTGCCCCTCCACTACCTTACCTCAAGATTGGATCACAGCATCATCAATCATCGTTCAGCCAATATATCATGGATCAAATACCTCTCAACTCCGAAGCTTCTCAGGGTGATAACCACAAGCAAACAACGTCGACGCTTCCGCCGGATGTCGTTCAATGCCTCGACAGTGCTCGATTTGTAGACCTTCCCCGCACCACCCACAATGCCATCACAGATCTAGGGCTGATAATCCATATAGCTTCACTTGGCAACATGCACCGATAACGTGCCGCATGTCTCTCTAATGAACTATACATATCTTCCCTCGTCGCCTTATTCTAACTACCCCGTCATCATCATGACTACGAACCCGGCATCACGGAAGACCACAAACTTGGTCGCCAATCCCAATGTATCCCTTCTTGTCCACGATTGTAAGTTGCATCTTCATATTCGGGATTGGCGAAATCTAAACATACTGAAAACATTTTCAGGGGTCTCCCATCGACCACCTACTCACGGCCGCCGACCGTCTGGTGGCTCTCCCAGCCCAGAGCACCGATCGAGTCTCGCCTCACTCCTCTTGAACCTCAACACTTCAGCGCTCTCTAGCATCAGTGCAACCATAGGAGGTGCCGCTCGTCTAGTGCCTAGCGGAACAGAGGAGGAAAAGTATTACCGCGAGCAGCATCTGGAAAACAATACTTTTGATGAGTCCGCAGCCCAGCCTTTCCAGCGAGACAATGGACCTGTCGAGGATGGAGGTCGCAACTGCTTTGTAGCTGGTGAGGAAGTAAGAGTTGTTTCGGTCGATATCAAGGATGTACGCATCAGCGATTGGAAGGGCACTGTAAGAGATTGGGCGATCGTGCCAGAAGGTAACCTCGTCAACGGAACTCAGCAAGAATGATCATATTGCAGTTTTCACGTCCTTGGCCTGAGCCTCATCATTGCACTTTAGCAATCAGTGTTTCAGATGCAGTAAGGTACATTGTTGGTTTAAACAATCCAATATGACAATATTGAATATTTCCATTATTTGCAAGGCACAGGCGTTAGATATGATACTATGTAGATCAATTCCTCAAAGCCAGTGCCTGTTTTACACAACGAAGCAAAAGCATGCAAAAAAACCCCCATCGTATCGCTCTTCCACCAGGTCAAGCTTTGTGAACCCCCTCGGAGTGCCGCAAGGCCACGCCAGTGTAAATTTTCCTGATTCCCAATCAATTCCAGCCACCCAACGCCTTTGCAGACAAACTGTAAAGACAGATCAAACAAACAACAAATAGTACTTGACTCATGAAAGACATGGTCATTTCACTTCTCTGTCTAGTGTATGGAGACGACAGGCGCATCATCGAGCCCACTCAACAACCTCGAGGGCCATCATTACCAAAATAAGAGTAGAGGGAAGAATCCTGCATATGTTAGCGCAATTCGGGATGGATTACACCGAGCATCAGGTGTCATGACTTACCAGATGACATAGCTCTGGAACAAGATTCTGCCCATTGTCTTCTCAAATACACTGTTGATTTGACAAATTTGAGCAAGCTGCAGGGCGCTCGGAGCTCCCGTGAGCAAGAAACAAACGATAACAAAAATTGGATCGTCAAGAATGCTAACGGGCACATATTTCGCCATAAGCGCAAGCATAGGGGCCATGATAGCAGTCGGTAGAACCATACGGCAAAGAAGGGAGGCAATGAGAAGTTTGTTGCCGATGCGCTCTTCCTCAGGGTCTAAAGCCTCGTCTTTAGCCATGGTATTACGAGCAAGGTTGGCGCCGAGAACAACAAGGATCAGTGGGACAGCGACATCTCCACTAGAGCGAACGGCGTTGGTGACACTATTCTGGACGAAAGAGCCCTCCTCAAAGAAGAGTCGTTGAAGAGCCGGGATAGAGGCAACGAGGATGGCAATCAACATAGCCCAGAG